CATTGTTTTCTAAAGAATGTGCCTGTTCGATACATTTAAAAGTAAAACTCTGTACTTGCTTAAATGGTGAAATACGAACTATCCTCCTAAAGCATCTCTTCCTCCCTCTCCTCACCCCTGGTTAGGAGGCGTCGTGAATTTTGACGCCTTCTGCGTGGATCTGCCTGGCATCTGGACATGGTGCCATCCCCAGCACGGGTTCCACTGGGTGGTTGTTCCAGAAGCAGCCTCCACCTCCACCGGACACCTCAGACACGGCTTTTCTATCTGTTTGGCTCACAATACTGGGTTTTTTTTTTTTTTTTTTTTTTTTTTTTTTTTTTGTCTCTCTGTATTCTTTGACTATCTCATCTCTCTAATATATTGAGTCTGATGTTAATCTGTAGTGTTTTCATTCTTTTTAAGATATGAATGGAGTTTCCTTTTTTTGAAAGCGAAGCCAGCTTTCACCCTGGGCTTTCTCTTGTGGGTTCTGAGGCCTTCTGGCTTCCTTGAGCTGGGATACGTGTGGTGGGCAGCTGAGTGCAGAAAGCAGGGACAGTGGGGTGTGCAGCAGGTGCCCGGCTCAGTGCTCAGTGCTGATGCCCGAGGACCAGATCTCAGGCTCCTTCTACAAAACCAGAGTCCCCCAGAAGCAAGTCCAAGCCGCACTCTTGTCCAGTCGTGAAAATGGACACCAACTCCCCTGGCATTTCTTAACTACTCACCGCGGATGCCCCAGCGACAAAGTGATACAAGTTCCCTTTCCATGTATTTGCTTTCCCAAATAGAAACTGGCGTAGGAGATGAAACCCATAGCAGAGTGTCTGAAAGCATGTGTAATAAAAATTGCAGAGGGTGGCATGGGCTGACCCCTCCAGGAAAACCCCTCCCCAGCCTGAGATCTGAATGAACTAGGAAATAGAACAGCAGGGGAGGGATACAGAAGCCAAAATGTCACTTCATTCCCACTGGCCCCTCTTGGCGAGGATTGGGAGAGGGTGTACCCCCCGACCTAGTCGTCCTTGCTCCAGGGGCCTCAGCTCAGCAAGCCCCAAGCCAACTGCACCCTGGGTTCCTGCTCCTCCCACCCGTCCCTCCATCTGGTGCTCTTGTGCTGGGCATACGTTGCACAATTATACTGGAGATGGGGTCCCAGGAGCTCTGGAAAACTGCTCTCTGCAGCCAGCGGGTTCCAGGGAGGAAGAGGGAGGTGCAGAATTGAGTGCAGCCAGCTCGTTCCACATTAACCAGTCCGGTAAATCATTCCCAAACCCTTGGCCACTAGGGTCAGCAGGTAAAGAGGCCCGAGAGGCCAGGAGACACCCACCATGAGGAACCATCAGGAACAGGAAGCCCCCTGCCCCCGGCACACAGCAGCACACACACGAGCTGTAACAATACATGTTGTCACATATGTGTCAGGGGTCCACAGACACCTCCTCTTACCTCTCAGATGTGCAAGGAAGTTTTAGCTTCTCTTTTCCATCTACAGTATGTCTGATCTTACACTCTCTGTCTGCTAATTACAGGCAAAAACAAGCTAGCTATTTATTTAGTCCAATTCCCCTTAAAATTCAGTTTGTCATAATAATTTGCACAGCTACTGTCGGTCACAGTCTTCGGGGACGCATTGGTCATTCTCTTACCTAGTTCCACCCCATCTTGCCCTCTCTACCCCTGAGTGGGGTGAAGGAGCCTCTGGGTCTGCCCATGCCCCTTGGATTCCTGCTGGCCCACTGTGGAGCAGTGACTGGGGGTTCTCAGAGCCCAGCTGGTGTGTGGCCTGTCCCTTCTCCCCACGGTTCCCCAGTGCCCGAAAGGCAGGCTTTCCCCATGACACCTCGTAGCCGACTGTTTCCTGGCTGTCCACCATCCATTCCTTCCCTTCTTTCTTACCTAATTTGCACTCTACAAAGGAAGGGGGGAAAAGAGTTCACTTTTCTAGCCCCTCTTTTAGCCAGAAATGGCCATGCAATTCTATGTGGCCCATGAGACGTAGGGGGCATCTACTTGAATGTGGGACAGGCTTCTCCCTTGATGATTGAAGAGCGCCCTCTGGCTTCCTGGGCCAGCCCCTGCAACCTGCCTTTGGGTATTGTGGAAGGTAGGTGTGATGTAGTGTTGCAGTCAGCCATTCTGTGATAATGAGGTAAGGCCCAAGCGCCAGAGCCTTAATAACCCTGAGTTGCTGATTTGAGCCCCTCAACCACCTCCAGACATCATGTTAAATAAACCTAAGTGTGCTTATGGGTTAAATCACTGCCAGTTTGGTTTCCTGTTACATTTCAGCATATTACCAAGGCCCATATCTTCCCTCTACCATAGAGCAGTGAGCCTATGGCCCAGCCACAATGGCCAGGAACAACTGCTCTCACCAAGGACTGCAGGTAGAGCCAGTTAACAAGGTGAGTCACTGCCTTCCTGTGGTTTCCCTGGGCCTCCACCCAGTGGAGCCTGGGCAACAGGGCAAAACTCTGTTTCTACTAAAAATACAAAAATTATCTGAGTGTGTGGTGCATGCCTGTAGTCCCAGTTAGTAGGGAGGCTGAAGTGGAAGGATTTCTTGAGCCCAGGAGGTAGAGGCTGCAGTGAGCTGAGATTGTGCTACTACACTCCAGCCTGGGTGACAGAGTGAGACACTGTCTCAAAAAAAAAAAAAACAAAAACAAAAACAAAAATAATAAAACGACAAGAAGGCCGCATCACAGGGAACCGATGGTGCACTCTAGGCTGACATCTCCTTCAGCCCTGAACCAGCATCTCACGGTGACCACCCTGTGCACTTGGCCCTGGAAATGCGCAGTAAACATGGGCTGCTCTGAGGATCATGCGGGGCTGCAGCCGGGCTCAGGAGCCCTCACCCGGAATCTCTTAGACGAAGCAAGAACATGTGTTAGCCCCAGGCTCCCTCCACCTCCTGGTCCCCAGCTGAGATCTCCATTACCATGACCCTGGTGGAGAAGGTGGAGAGAAGGAGAGGACACACGACTGCCTCGTGGCCAGAATTCAGGCGTGCGGTCCTTTTACCCTCCCACACCTCTATGAGGTGTTCACCTCCTCTTTCCCTCATTTTCCACTACGTGCTGTCAATCAATTTAATAAATAGCAGGTTTCACACCTTAATTTGGTCTGCGCACCCCTTTGTTCTGCCACTGGCCATGTACTCGGAGACCACAATTGCTTCTAGATAATTTCCCACACAATAGGGTTCTGTTCAGGGCATGTATTGAACTAAAGGTCAGACCAGGAACTAATTCTCGAAGCCAAGCTGTAGCTTAAGTTCATATTTGTAGGGTCGTTGGGAAAGATATTGTTAAGAAAACTCCCTCACCTTTCTTTGCAAGTAGAGGGAGGGATGGTTTGTTGCAATATTTTATTTTTATGAATTTGATAGGAAACATCAGCTCATAAGAAAGAAACACATGCCTGGCAAATCCCAGTCCTAGTAACCTACCAGAAGGAAGGGATACCCATGAGGCTCCCTGACTTAAAGGTCCAAGCAGACAGAAGATACCAGTTGGTAACACAAGAATAAATAGTATTATTTTTAAAGGATTTCTGACTTGTTCTCTTCAGCTCTTAACAGTGCCCTGAGCTGGACATCTTTGAGGTAGCAAACAGACTAAATTAGATCAAACCACATGTGCCCACACATGCCCACACATGCACGTGCTACAAGGGGACTCAGTGAAGCTAAAGGCAAGTATTGGAAGGATTTTCTACATTTCATCTGATCTCATCTATCAGTATCGAGAAGTTGGAAGGGCTGAGCTTATTTATTTATTATATCTTATGTGCAAGCTAACAGGTGAGTCTGCCACAATTTCCTGTTTCCAGAAGACAGGAAATTCCTGGTTCAAAGATAAATGACTTTATTACTCATGCTACAGCAAGCAGCATGAAGAAAGGTTACTTGTGTCGGTTCTGTTTGCCTCCAAGACCCCCAAGGGACTGGGACTGGGAATGCACTCAGATGGGTGCCTGCACACACAGTGGGTTGCCTTATGGGAGAGAAGCCCTGGATTTAGGGATCCAAGTGTTTTATAAGGGACAGTGAGCTCGCCTGCTCTTTGCTCCAGAGGGAGACATCTTATCCACTTTCCAAGATTGTTTGTGACCCAAACATCCTTGGAGAGATAGTCTGGAAGAAAGGACTGTTTTCATTGCCTCCTGTGGTTGGTGAAGGGGGGATTTCACCCTAGGATGATGGGATGGCTGAACACGCCACCCCCAACATCGCATAGGTGAGAACAATAGCAGTTTGTGAGTCCCATATCCTTATAGCCCAGGGGCTGAGGACATTGTGCCATGTGGGACCACACAGAGGTGGCATTCAGGGGCAGAGAGAATAAGCAAAGGTTGTGGGAAGCAGGCTTTGTAGTATCAAGAGGGCGTGGTGGCCAGTGGCTCCCACACGAAGATGCAATTGGCTTGTTTAAATAATTCTGTGGGCTGGCAGAAAACTGAAATCTGCAGCTCACGGATAAGCAAGCACAGTGCCTAATCCCTTGATAGGCAGGGTTGTTTGGCTAGGGGACCTTATCCATGGGAGTAGAGGTGGGAGGGGAACTTTTGGTGAGGCTGCTTGAGGCCCTCCCTGTTTCACTAGATGTCAAGGCAGCACTTAATATTGTGCCTTAAGTTTAGGTCTTACGCCATAAGGATAGTTAGTTTCTTATTCACGCGATGTGCAGAAATGTGAGAAATTTATGGAGAACTGTCTCCCAACAACCAGTATACTAAATATCTTATTTTCAGGACAAGATTATAGAGGGAGGAAAAAGGATTAAGGCTCATTTCTGTAACATTTTATTAAGAAAAATAGAATGCAAATATTTCCCTCCATTGTTATTTTAAAATTTTAGACAGCTTAAGACTATAATATAGGGGTATGTGGATATTTTTTTTCTTTTTTGAGAGTCTTGGTCTGTCACCCAGGCTGGAGTACAGTGATACTATCTTGGCTCACTGCAACCTCTCCGCCTACTGAGTTCAAGTGATTGTTCTGCTTCAGCCTCCTAAGTAGCTAGGATTGCAAGCATGAGCTACCATGCCTGGCTAATTTTTGTATTTTTAGTAGAGATAAAATTTCACCATGTTGGCCAGGCTGTTCCTGACCTCAGGTGATCTGCCTACCTAGGCCTCTCTAAGTGCTGGGATTATAGGCGTGAGCCACCGCACCCGGCCTGGATTTTTTAAAGGGCTACATAGTAAATATTGTAGGTTTTGGGGGCCTTACAGTCTTTGTCACAACGAGTCAACTCTGCATTGTAGCTAGAGTAGCCATAGATAATATGTAAATCAATGGACTTAGTTATATTTCAATAGAGCTTTATTTTAAAAACAGGCAATTAGACCAAGAACCATCATTGTCCAACCCCTACTGTCATCCACCATTTTATTTTGACATGTGATAACCTAAATGGTTAGAATACTTTTCAGGTTTAAGGCTGGTCAGATCATGTCTTGCCTGAGCATGGTCTCAAATAAACAACCCATTCAGATACTAAAGAGACATTTAAAAGTAATTTACTTCTTGAGTAAAGTCTTCTCAAAAAAGTGCAAAGAGGGCCAGGTGCAGTGGCTCACGCCTGTAATCCCAGTACTTTGGGAGGCCGAGACAGGCGGATCACGAGGTCAGGAGATCGAGACCATCTTGGCTAACACGGTGAAACCCCGTCTCTACTAAAAAATACAAAAATAATTAGGGGCGAGGTGGCGGGCGCCTGTAGTCCCGGCTACTCGGGAGGCTGAGGCAGGAGAATGGCGTGAACCCAGGAGGCGGAGCTTGCAGTGAGCCGAGATGGTGCCACTGCACTCCAGCCTGGGCGACAGAGCGAGACTCCGTCTCAAAAAAAAAAAAAAAAAAAAAAAAAGAAGTGCAAAGAGGAATTACCTTGCACAGCACATTAAAAATGTGCTAAAATTTATGTCCCTCCAATTTTATCTCCCAAATATAATAAGACATTTCTAATTTCATTCTTCCCCAGACTCAGTATTAACATCAGCACTGGTTCATCTGCTTATGTCTTCTACTAGCTTTGGTCAAGTTATTTATGATGTAGATAAATCTAGTCCTGGGCTCTAAAAAACTCTACTCTTCACCCACTATATTCATCAGCACAACACAACTCTGGAATCCTGGGATGCTGGGAAGAGAAATTGAATGCGTAAGTCACTCAGCCTTGCCCTTCGACACTCAGAAACATTCAGCATGTAAATATTAGTAATAAAATACCCCCCATAATAGTGTAAAGATGAGATATTAGCACACTTGGGTTTTAGGAGATGCGTTGGAGAGCATCTGATAAGTTTTCACTGCACCTCCCCTTCACAGACAAGGAAACTGATCAAGAGAAGTAAAGAGGCTTGACTCATTTATTTGCATACATTCATGTTGTCCATGCCCAGATATTATTTTATGAATTTCAAAAGGTAATTTGAGTGATGGGCAACGCTAGGTGGCAAATTTCTATCCCCCAGACTCCTGCGATGTCAGTTATCTGTTTCTCCACTGACTCCCTCTCATTCAGTCTACCATGTACCAGAGCTAGGATGGCTTCTGGGGATGCACATGAATGAGGCATGGGCTTGACTCTGGATCTTTCCTCCATTTGCTTGCTGTGTTATTTGGGCAAACGATTTTGCCGATGTGATGATAAAATGGGGATGATCATTTTAGCCTTACTTCGGATTGATGTAAGGATTAAAAAGAGCAAAAAGCAAAATTCTTAGAATAATGCCTGGCACACGTAAACCTGTAGTAAGCATTAGTTTTTCTCTTTGGTGCAATTAATAAAGGACCCAGAGAAGCAAAAAATTCATTTACAGTATGGGTGTGGCTAAGTGTTATGATTCAGATAGATAAAGGGTGCTGTGGAGAACTGGGTGAAGAGTACTCGTCTTTACTCAGGAGGAAATAAAGGGAGGTTTCCTGGAGGAAGTGACTCCTGAGTTAAGAGCTGAGGGAAAGATGAGTGTTAGCAAGTCAAAGAGCAGGGGAAGGGTGCTGTGGGGGTGGAGAGCACACATGAGCCAAGGCTCCAAGATGAGAGCGTGTTTAGAGAAATGCAGACTCGTGTGTGATGAGGCAGGGCTTAGCAATAAAAGGAGGTGGAGGCACACGTGGAGTCCAGTTCATTCATGAAGGGTCTTGCTTTTCATACTCAGGAGTTTGGTCTTTACCCTACAGGAGCCAGAGAGTGACAGAGAAGTGACACAGATTTTTATTATATAAAAATTAAGCAGGGCCGGGTGCGGTGGCTCACACCTGTAATCCCAGCACTTTGGGAGACCGAGACGGGAGGATCACGAGGTCAGGAGATCAAGACCATCCTGGCTAACACGGTGAAACTCCGTCTCTACTAAAAAAATACAAAAAATTAGCCGGGTGTGGTGGCAGGTGCCTATAGTCCCAGCTACTCAGGAGGCTGAGGCAGGAGAATGGTGTGAACCCAGGAGGTGGAGCTTGCAGTGAGCAGAGATTGCGCCACTGCACTCCAGCCTGGGCGACAAAGCAAGACTCCGTCTCAAACAAACAAACAAACAAAAATTAAGCAAGTTTTTTTTCCTGGATAGGGACAACACCATTTTCATTTTAGAGTCTAGCTAAGAGACAGTTGTAGTGAACCAAGTGAGAAATCCTGCAGACCGGACAGGGATGTAAACTTGAATGCTAACAGAGGTCAAGCAGGGGCCATAGCTGAACAAATTCAGCCAGGTGGGAACTGGCTGGAGCAACCTGGAGAATTCATGTCCTGTGTTAAGGGATGCCTGTAACTTCAGCCTAAAGCACTTTTTAATTTTCTTTAAAGTTCCTTGAAGAGCAGATTTGCAAGTGAGAGCTTCTCTAAACTTTTGTTCACCTGAAAAATTGTTTTGAAAGCATATATTCAGAGTGTAGAACTTTTCCCTAGCACTTACACATGTTATCCCACTGTCTTCTGGTTTGCATTATCAGATAAAAAGAAATACTTGATCAAGAATGCATATTGAGTAAATAGTACTGTGTTATCAAGTCATTATTGTTATTATATTCTCCTCCATGCTGTATGTCTTTGTCTTAGCCCATTTTCTGTTGCTAAGTTGAAACTGGTGATTTATCAGAAATGAACTTCATCTCTTACAGTTCTGGAGACTAGGATGTCCAAGGTTGAGGGGCTGTGTCTCTTGAGCGCCTTCTTGCTGGTGGGGACTCTCAGACGTGTCCCAAGGCAGCCCAGGGTATTCCATGGAAAGGGCGAGGATGTGTCAATGTGCTAGCTCAGGTCTCTCTTCTTACAAAGCCACCAGGTCCCCTTCCACGATAACCCATGAACCCATCATCCCATGAATCCATTAATTCATGAGTGGATTAATTCATTCATGAGAGCAGAGGTCTCATGATCCAATCACCTCTTAAAAGCCCCACCTCTCAATACTGCCACACTGGGGATTAAGTTTCGACATTAGTTTGGAGGGACATTCAAACCCTAGAAGTCTTTTTCTCCAGCCGCTTTAAGAATTTTTTAAATCACGGGATTTTCAACAGTTGAATCATGCTGTGCCTTGATGTGATTTTTTTTTTTTTTTTTTTTTTGTATTTATTTTCCTTGAAATTCTTTAAGCCTTTAAGATTTGTAGGTTTATACTTTTCATCAACTTTAGAAAAATCTAAGGAATATTTACTCAATACTCATTCTTGATCAAGTATTTCTTTGAAAGATTTTTTTCTCTCCTCTTCTACTGGTACATCAATCACATGTATGTTAGATTGCTTGAGATTGTCTCACCAGTCATTGGAATCCTGTTTATTTGTTTAGTCCTTTTTCACTTTATGCTCTAGTTTGCATAGTTTATCTTGCACTGGCTTCATTCAAGTAAACTGACCATTCCTCTGCAGTATCTAACAGTATCTAATTTAAAACCCACACAGTGTAGTTTTCATTTCAGATGTTGTATTTTTTATTTCTAAAATTTGTACCTGGTTAATTTTTAGTTTCCATCTATCTATTGAGATTTCTTTTTGTTCCTTTATTATATTACGTTCTTCTTTCTATCTTTGAACATTTTATGCCATGTCTAAGTCTGTTTTTGTTCACTAATTTTTCTAATGACTGTGGGCCATGTTTCCTAGTTCTCTCCACACATTTAGTAAACTTCTGATTTTCTGTTAGACATTAGGGATGTTATGTTGTGTATTTAGGTTTTGTTGTCTTCATTAGTAAAGTGTTGGAAGCTTTGCTCTCTCAGGTAGTGTCATCAGTTGAATTATTCCTCCCAAATTCATATATGAAGCCTTAAATTCCATTAACTAAGAATGTGACTATATTTGGAGACAGTGTCTTAAAAGGGGTAATCAAGTTAAAATGAGGCTCTTAGGGTGGGCTCTGGTTCAATCTGACTGGTGTCCTTATAAGAAGAGAGACACCAGGGATGTGCATGCACAGAGGAAAGACCATGTGAGATATGGGAAAACACAGCCATCTGCAAGCAGAAAGAGGCCTCAGTAGAAACCAGATGTGCTGACACCCTATCTTGGACTTCTGGGCACCCGAATTGTGAGAAAGTACATTTCTGTTGGTTAAATCACGCAATCTGTAGTATTTTGTTATAGCAACCTGAGTGAACTAATACAAGCAGTTAATTTAATTGGAGGTTAACTTGATTCTTGCAAGACTTGTTTTAAAGTTTTGTTCGAATGGGTTTAGAGTAGCGTTCCTCTAGAAAGATCAAGCTTCCTTTTACGGCATGGCCTTTACTGAATGTTTGAAGTGGTCAACACCTCTAGCTGCTCAGAGCTCAAATGCTTTCCGGCCCCACGAACCCTGCACTAGTCATTTAGTTCAGCCTTCCCGGTGATTGTTCTGTCCCCAGGAGCTGTTTAGCCTGGCCTTGTGGGCACGAACAGCACAGTATTTGACGAAAAGCTTAAAGGACCCCCATTTATATTTCTGGAGCTCCCTTCTCTTACCCTGATAACCCGCCTGCCTCTGAAGCTTCCAGTTCCGGCCTCTGTGTCCTCATCCCGGAGGGACTGCGGCACTATTCGGGTTCCCCTCCCTGTGCTGTAGTCTGGAGAGTGTCTCCAGGAAACCAAGGCAGCCGTGGGACTCCCCCTGTTGTTTCCCTTCTCTCGGGGATCGCTGTCTGGCTCTCCCTGCTGCTCAGCAACTGCAGACAGTTACTCATGTAGTTTTAGAGTTTAGCCTCACGGTGGGAGGCTAGCCTGGTAGCCATGACTCCATAGTCAAAAGCGGAGGTCCACATGGATGATATTTGAGGTGGTTCCCATTTGTTGACTTTCTATGTGAACTGATGGACAGTATCATCCCCAAAGTGTGCAGAATGGAAGTGAGCAGGGGTGGAGAAGGATAGACAGAAAGAAGGAGGGTGCCAGCCCTGAGTGCCTGGATGGTGCTGAGATCATGCATTGAGAGTGACAACAATCCAAGGCAAATGTCGGCCATGCTGGGCAGATGGTGTAGGCACAGAGACAGTGCGAGACAGCAGTGAGGAAGACAATGGGTGAAGAGAGCACCATGGAAATCAGGCTGGAGAAGCAAGAAGGAAGGATAGACAGGAGGGGGCTCACGCGGGGGTAGGGGATTGGAGGGCTTCAGGATTCAGACAAAGGTGTGGTGGCAGGGAGAATGTTAGGAGATTAGGACATCCTGGGCAGGAAGGACATTTGCATACCATCTTTCGGAGGTAGAGCTCAACTTCTGAGTGTGGTCATGGGAGGGTGGCAGAAGTGGCAGAAGTGGAGTGGAGACGGAAGTTCCTAGAGATGAGGAAAAATAAAATCTGAGCGACTGCATTTGGATGAAACATCCACCACCATGTTGAAGATGTCTGGGATGTGACCAAGTCTCAGCATGACAAGGAACACGGTGAACTCAGTGCTGAAATTCTTAACAAAAGGGACAGGCTGCACCAAGGTCGGTAGATGACAGCAAGGCAGGGACTCCGGACATGGCGCCCTTCCCAGCCTGCATCTCCAAGGTTTTTGCATGAGGGTGAAGACTTGGGGCTCAAAGTCAATGTCCAGTCCCCCAGTCTGAGCCCATGTGATGGGGAGGTGGCCAAGTACAGTTGTGGAGGTTGTGAGCAGCTCCACTTTCAACCAGCAATGCCACTCTATTGCAGATGTCCCATCTTATGTAATGGTTTCCCAATTCTGTGGGCACTCAGTGTCCCTGCGTGGGGGCCTGAGCAGGATTCCAGGGAAGCATCCCTAGGACAACACAGGCTTCCGCCAGGGCCAGGAAAGTGCGAGAGGCTGAGAAGGGGTCTCTTTTGCATGGGTCAGGCGGTTGCAGCAGCAGGAATCCTGAAGGGGCTGCAGTGAGTAGTGGGAAGTCGGGTCAATGGGGAGGAAGCAGAGAGGAGAGGTGGGTGGGAATATGAGAGAAAACAACGACTCAGGCACTTATGTCATGATGGTGACTAAAGTGACCTGCCAGAGTTTTCATGGATTGAGTCCCCATGGCTGCCCAGTGGTGAACAGTCAGCGGTGAGCCTGGAGGCACTTGATCCGGATCCAGAGGAGACCTGGAGGATGGAGCCTGGAGGATGGGGGCCTGGAGGATGGGGGCCTGGAGGACGGCAGCATAGAGGGCGGGGCCTGGAGGACGGGGGCCTAGAGGATGGGGGCCTGGAGAATGAGGGCCTGGAAGACGGAGCCTGGGGAACAAGGGTCTGGAGGACGAAGCCTGGAGGATGGCGACCTGGAGTACGGGGCCTGCTCTCCAGACCCTGAGGACAGCCCTGTGGTGGACCAAGAATTTTGGGTTTCCTGTGTCTCTGGGCCCCTGACCGCTCAGCCATCAGAAAGAGACCGGCAACCCCCTGCCACTCCCCGGCGTGCAGAACTTCAGGTCCCCCTCTGTCCTTCCCACCACACCTTCCCCTCTTTCTTTCCAGGTGTCTCCCCTCTGGCTGCTGTCCTCACTGTCCAGGCCACAGACTCCTTCTTCAGCACATCCTACCCTGGGGAGGCCATGGACGGGGTCCCAGGTGCCATCTTTTAGGAGATGCAGAGCGTTCCCATGGAACAAAAATAACCCATTTCAGGGGCTGGCTGAAAATGAACTTATTAAAACCTGCCTGTCACAGGCTGCTCCGCTGACCCTGTCCGTCTCATCTCGTGGAGAGCAGCTCCTTCTGCTGAAGATGAGACAAAGCACATGGTGCTGTGGCTGGTGAGGCTCTAACCACAACACCAGGAGCAGTCTCTTCCCTCCTCTGAGACGCTTCCCTTCCTTGGGCAGGGTCTTTTCCATACTGCCTGCTGGCCTGTTCATTTCCCCCAGTAAACTTGGCCCTAATATTTTCTAAATTCCTGTGGTGCCGCCCACTCTATCAGCAGAAATGCATGGCTTATCCGTTCCTGGGTGTGGCCCTGGGTATGCCCGGCCCCAGACCTGCACGTGGCTGGGTTTTCACGTTGGGCCAGCGGCGGCCCGTCCTGGCCCAAGGCAGGAGGAGCCTCAGCCGAGGCAGGGAGTCCACCTCGCGCCGAAGCCTCGCCTGCCCAAGCACGGGCTGCCACCTTGCCTCCTCTGTCGCCTCCACGGTGGAAGGCTTGGGCCACAAGGGAAGAAAGAAAGTTATCAAGGCCTGGCCGGTGGCAGAGAAGAAAGGTTAATTGGGCTTGTGGACAAACAGATAGAAGAGATATAAACACGCACCTGGCAGGTGGGGCGCGCCATGCATCTGCAAGCCGTCCCTGGGTGCAGCTGGAGCTGACAATGGCGCAACCCGAGACGCCCAGCCTCTGGCAGTGCTCCTCGTCCTGGGGCTGTGTGCCCTGGTTGGTGAGAAACCCTGTAAGTGAGGAGAGGGTTCTCTTAACATTTTGCTTAGCTTGTATTTCTGCTAAAAGAAATAAAATTACTGTGAGAGGGGAAGTAGCCATAAGCATCTGCGCCCATGTGTTGCGTTCACACGCGGGAGTCCCTGGCAGGAGGAGTGGCTCCCAAGAAAGGTCCCTCCCTCCGAGGGGAAAGGCCTGAGTGACGGCAGGTGTCAGTTGGACCCCCTTGTCAGGGCTAGCAGGGCATTCCCACCAAGGTCCTTGGAGTCCCAGAGCAGTCACTTGGTCACCTCGATCTTAGCCTGTGTCCAGTCTGTGTTCATCTTCTCTCTAGAAGGGGATTTTTTTTTTTTGTTTTTTTTTTCTTTTTCAACACGATCTGGTCTGCCACCCAGGGGCAGGAGTGCAGTGGTGTGATCTTGGCTCACTGTTTTTTCTTTGTTTCAACCTGCCTCCCGGGCTCCAGGTGATCCTCCCACCTAGCCCCTGAGTAGCTGAGAGCCACAGGTGTGGACACACCATGCCTGGCCCTTTTTTTTTTTTTTGGTATTGTTTGTAGAGATGGGGTTTTGACATGTTGCCCAGGATGGTCTTGAACTCCTGAGCTCAAGCATAATCTGCCTGTCTCGGCTTCCTAAAGTGCTTGGGATTATAGGTATGAGCCACCATGCCTGGGGCTTTTTTTTTTTTTTTTTAACTAATATAACAATTTCAGCAAAGCCCTACCAGTTTCTCAGGAGGAAACTGCATTGCTTAAATATGGGCAAGATAAGACTTTGTGTTTCTCTGTGTGGCAGCAAGACAGTAGAGGCACCCCTAAAACCCCTGAGAAGGAGCAGTGTGGTCTGGGGTACCCGGGCGGGGCTGACCGAGGGTCTTTCCACAGCCCCCTGCCAGTGCTCCAGGCTGAGCCCCCAAAAAAGGAAGAACTGCGGCTTCCCTGGCATCACCAGCGACCAGTGCTTTGACAAAGGATGCTGTTTCGACTCCAGTGTCGCTGGGGTCCCCTGGTGTTTCGAACCCCTCCCGAAGCAAGGTAATCTTCCAGGGAAACCACACCCTCTTCCTGGGCTGCCATAGCTTCACAGGCAGAGATCAGAGCATGGGCTGGAGGAGGCCCAGTTGCTAGTCTAGGGTTAGCCTGGGTGGGTTAGTCTGGAGCTAGCCCTGGTTGGTTAGTCTGGGGTTAGCCCAGGTTGGTTAGTCTGGGGCTAGACCAGGTTAGTTAGTCTGGAGCTAGCCCAGGTTGGTTAGTCTGGGGCTAGTCCAGGTTACTTAGTCTGGAGCTAGCCCAGGTTGCTTAGTCTGGGGCTAGCGTAGGCCGGTTAGTCTAGAGGTAGCCCAGGCTGGTTAGTCTGGGACTGGTCTGGACTGTTAGTCTAGAGGTAGCCCAGGTTTGTTAGTCTGGGGCTAGACCAGGTTGGTTAGCCTGGCGCTAGCCTGGACTGTTAGTCTCGAGGTAGCCCAGGTTGGTTAGTCTGGGACTAGCCTGGACTGTTAGTCTAGAGGGTAGCCCAGGTCAGCCAACAGTGAGATGAAAATGTTCCACCTATCCCATTTCTACACCGTTATTTCCTTCAGCAGACATGTATGTGTGGAGATATCAGTTTTATTTTAGTTGAGAAAAAGAAAAAAAACAATAATAGGTCTTCTCTAGCTTTTGAAGTGTGACTTCTGAGGAAGCTTCCACGGGGAAATGAAGGTTATTTAATAGGACAGTAGTAACATAAGGGCTGACAGACCTCAGATGTTGGGGAAGGAAGTGAAGCCTTCTAGGGTTCTTTAGGAGTGAGTTTTATGTCAGCGCAAGGGATCAGGACCCAAGTCGTCGTAACCACCGAGGATGCTCAAAGGAAGATTGCAAGTGTGCCGAGCACCTGTGTGCGTGGAACCGGGCACGTCCTCTGGAGAAGGGCGATTCTTCCCCCAGATTGTTGCTGGGAGGCTTGCTGGGCCTGGCAGGTAAACCAGGCAGATGGTGGATTGTTCACAAGCGCCCACCGAATGGCAGTGTCTTTGGGTATCAATACGGTGTCCAAACGCTTTCCATCTTTCCAAGGTGCCCACAAACCTTTTCTCATATTGGTCAGGGGGACCACCCCATTTACAGAGGATAACACTGAGTTCTGAGAGGCAAAATGATTTCCCCAAGGTGGGGGACTCCAGAACGTCCGACTGTGACCACCCCACATGGGCCCCACCTTCGGGGAGGACAGGCCAACCAAGCGTCGCTGGGGCGGACACTCACAGTCCGCGGGGGAGGCGGTCCCAGGGGCCGACACTTCCACAGTCCCCGGGGGAGGCGGTCCCAGGGGATGCTGCCCCCGGCAGCACCTTATGATCCATGGAGGCTGCAAACCAGCGCTGCTCTCAGAGGAGGAAGGGGTGGAGCTTTCCAGGGCACAGCAAGCCTGACTGGGTCTCGGTGTCGTGCCTGTCCCGTGGCAGAGTCGGAGCAGTGCGTCATGGAGGTCTCAGCCCGAAGAGACTGTGGCTACCGGGGCATCAGCCCGGAGGAATGCGCCTCTCGGAATTGCTGCTTCTCCAACCTCATCTTTGAAGTGCCCTGGTGCTTCTACCCGAAGTCTGTGGAAGGTAACGTGGCTGTGGGACGCGCCGTCTGGTTCCTGGACACCATGATTCCTCGTCCGTCCCTAGACGTGGGGTGCGGGGAGGGCAGCTGCCTCGCTGCCTCAACGCCATCGAGGCCAGGGCCCCTGCCTCCTATGGGTTTCTGAAGGCAATTCCAGAATGTTCTTGGCAAAGACAGCGTCTTTTCAATAAGTTTATAACCTCCAGCATTGCCACTGTGTCATCTGTGATGGTTCTAGAAACAGCAGCTCATCCCTGTCGCCTCCCCAGGTGTTGCAACGTTAAGGGGGGTTGCCTATTTTATTGCAATCTGATCTGTGTTTGGAGGCTACTGAGTGTCTTGTGCTGTGCTGGGTACCAGAAAGGGCCCAATTCAAGCAGACCTGGCCCCTCCTCCCGTGGCCTCCCCGTTCTCGCCCACATGACCCCGAGTGACAAACGTCCCCCACAACGTCCTGCTCCGGGCAGTCCTGGGAGGGTCCCGCCCACGGAGGGGAATGGGTCCACTTCTCCCAGCCACTTAGTGACAGTGTGTTCCTGACACAGAGTGTAATAAGATAATAAAAAGACCAAGCAGATCCAGGAAAATGGGGAAAGAGCGTGCTGGTCCTTGAAGGATGCCTTTTCTTAGGATATCAAAGTATTCCAAAGAGCAAAATATTTCATGTTCAGGATTTTCCGAGTGATTTTCTTATGTGACCTAAAGGTCATAAAAAAGGTCGGGGGAAATGCGCCCCACAGAGGAAACTCTAGCCTGGGGTGGGGGGATTTGGTCCCCTTATATCCCCTCCCCGGGAAAGGGGCTCCTTCTTCAGTAGGAAGCTCCTGGGCAAAGTGACGTGGGCCCACCCCAGCTTCACAGCCTAGGTGCCCCCATTTCTGGGGTTCCCTTACCAACCGTCTTGCATTTAAATTTCTAGATTGCCATTACTAAGAGAGGCTGGTTCCAGAGGATGCATCTGGCTCACTGGGTGTTCCAAAACCAAAGAAGAAACTTCAGCTCCTTGTCATCTTCGTGTTTCATGAAATCCTGGGTTTTCTTAATCATCTTTTTATCATTTTCAATGGTTTAACATACCATTTCTTTAAATAAAACCCTTAAAATCTGCTAAATTTCATTCTGGTTTCATTAACGCAGAGGTGATGGTGGTGTGCGTATGTACACATGTATGGGTGTGTGTACACATGTGAATGTGTACATGTGTGAGTGTATGTGCAGGGGTTTTTTTTGTTTTGAGACAGAGTCTTGCTCTGTCGCCCAGGCTAGAGTGCAATGGTGCGATCTTGGCTCGCTACAATCTCCCCTTCCCAGGTTCAAGCTATCCTCCTGCCTCAGCCTCCTGAGTAGCCAGGATTACAGGCACGTGCCACCACCACTGGCTAATTTTTGTATTTTTAGTAGAGATGGGGTTTCACCATGTTGGCCAGGCTGGTCTCAAACTCCTGACCTCAAGTGATCCACCTGCCTTGGCCTCCCAAAGTGCTGGGATTACAGGCGTGAGCCACCATGCCTGGCAGTTTTAATGTCCCTTCAATTTTTCTAAGAGAAAAAATTCATCAAATACATTTAGGTTTCTCTAAAAGCAATAAAAAGTACTGCACATAAGTACGTTTCAGAATTCACAATCACTTTGTACCTCCCATTCTCTGTCCTTTTTATGAAAACTCAAATGACTAGCCCTAAAACCCTCTTGGAGTGATACATGACTTCAGATTGCAATTGCAAAATCCTTTCTCTTTGACCAAATGCATCTCAGACTCCTTGCTTTTGAGATGGGTGTGCGGCAGCCGGTCGTCTCCTATTTCTAAGGCAAGCAGGGAGGGGCCTTGGACCAGGTAAGCCAAAAGATTCTCTCTCAACTCTTTGCTTCTGTGTTTTCTGGCCTCTGCCTGAGGGTAGCTTTGGTAATGTGCTAACATTGGAGGATACTCGAGGGAGGAAGTTCACAGCGTTTCATTAAGGCAATGCCGACCGTGGGGAGATCACCGTGTGAAAGATTCTTATTTACTAATTATTATTATTATCATCATACCAATTTACAGGGTACATGTGCAGTTTTGTTACATGTGTGGTTTGCATATTAGTCAAGTCAGAGCTTTTAGGGTGTCCACCAACTGAATCATGTACACTGTACCCATTAACTAACTTCTCATCATCCACCCCCTACCCCCGTCAGCCATCCACATGTCCATTGTCCACCATTCCTCTCTGTGTGCGTGTGGACATATTTTTAGCATCCACTTACAAATGAGAATGGGTGATATTTGACTTTCTGTGTCTAGTTTGTTTCACTTAAGATAACGACCTCCAGTTCCATCCATGTTACTGCAGAAGACATGATTTAATTCTTTTTATGGCTGAATATGATTTCATTGTGTGTATATACCACTTTTCAAATCCATTTACCTGTAGATGGACACTTAGGTTGATTCCGTATCTTTGCTATTGTGAATAGTGCTGCGATAAATGTACAAGAACAGGTATCTTTTTGATAGAATTTCATTTCCTTTGGATAGCTACCCAGTAGGGATTGCTGCATTGAATAGTGGCTCTATGTTTAGTGGAAAGATTCTTTTGCGTCTCCTTTAAGGGGTCCTGGTGTCATTTAGCTCGGTGGTGGGAGTGCAGAGTGGATGATGCTAGGCCAGCCTTTCTGTTGCTTCCCTCAACGTCCCTCTCCCACCCCAAGCTGACTGGCTTAGCAAATGTGTCACCCAATAGCCCACTCCTGTCACCCCAGAAAATCCAAGGCCTCAGCCCTCCGGCCCTGCAGGGTGGGGTGGGGCCAGTGCCACTAGCTTCCTATTGGAAGATGGGAGTATTAGGAGATAGGATTATAGGAGAGGGGCTGGTCAGCTTGCTGGGGGTGGGAACACCAGGAGTCGTTACCATGTGCGTGGGTTGATGGCCCAGGTGGGTCACCGCAAGGAGGTTTTTAAAAATCTCTCAGATTCTCAGGCTTTCTGTTTGTAAAATATGAGTAATGATTACTTCCCTAGCAGGATTCTGGTGAGAATTAAAAACAATGTTTGTGGCTGGGCATGCTGGCTCAGGCCTGTAATCCCAGCACTTTGGGAAGCCAAGGGAGGAGGATTGCTTGAGCCCAGGAGTTTGAGACCAGCCTGGGGAACATGGTGAGACCCCATCTCTACAAAAAACACAAAAAGTAGCTGGGCACACCTTTAGTCCCAGCTACTCAGGAGGCTGAGCTGGGAGGATTGCTTGAACCCAGGGAAGTCAAGGCTGCAGTGAGCTGTGATCATAGTACTGCACTCCAGCCTGGGCCACAGAGCGAGACTCTGTCTCAAAAAAAAAAAAAGAAAAGAAAAGAAAAAGAGTCAGAATTTTTAAAAATTAAAAAAATATAAAGTAAAAATGTTACAGTAAGTTGAGGATAATTTTATTATTAAAGAAAGAATAGTATTTTTTTATAAAGGTCACGTGTTTATAAAGTCTGTGGCACGATAGTCGTGTCCTGGGCCTTCGAGTTCACTCCCCACTCCCTCCCTGACTCGCCCGGTCCTGCAAGCTCCGTTCGTGCTAAGTGCCTACTCACCGTCCCATTCTTCATCTTTCACACCATGTTTTGACTGTATCTTTTCTTTTTCTTTTGTTTTGGAAAGGATTCTCACCCTGTTGCCCAGGCTGGAGTGCAATGGTACCATCTCGGCTCACTGCAACTTCTGCTTCTCGGGTTCAAGTGATTCTCCTGCCTCAACTTCCCAAGTAGCTGGGATTACGGACAGGCACTCACCACCACACCTGGTTAATTTTTGTACTTTTACTAGAGATGGGGTTTCACCGTGTTGGTCAGGCTGGTCTCAAACTCCTGACCTCATGATCTGCCCATCTCGGCCTCCCAAAGTGCTGGGATTACAGGTGTGAGTCACCATACCCGGCTTTGGCTGTACCTTTTCTATGTTTAGATACACAAATGCTCACCACTGCGTTACAGTAGTTCCAGTGTTCAGTCCAGTCGCTCTCCGCACAGGTTTGCAGCCTGGGAGCCAACTGTGCAGCCTGGGTATGCAGCAGGCGCCGCCCTCCAGCTGTGCGTTAAGCACGCTCTACCGTGTTCACACAACAAAACCCCTCATGACACGTTTCTCATAACATTTCCCTGTCGTTCAGTGCTGCATGGCTGTATGTGTACAGGCACTTTAGTGCTGATTTATAGTGGGTATCTATACAGTCTGTTCTGGCATTCATGTAGTTAAGCTCTATGAAGTCGCTGCCAGTACTCACCTAGTGAATCTGGAACCCTTGCTCCTGAGGAAGCACAGGGTCAGGCTTCTGCGAGCTTCTGGAAGCATTTCATCAACCAGCCATACGTAGCCAGGCTCCAGTGTGTTTCCTGTGGACACCTTGCGGAGTGCACACGGTCGTTGCATTAACGCTGAATTCCAGGCCGACATCCTGTCACCCAGTGCCAGTGAGGCTGCCCTGACCCTGGTGTTTTCCCCGTATCCATGTCGCCTCACGCTCAGGACACCAGACAGTTCCTCACCACGGCACATGGGGGCATTTTAAATGGGAAATCACATAGGCCAAGAAAAGGACACTTGTTCACAGTATAGATTGAGGCAAGAAGGCCATGTGTGGCTGGGTGCAGTGGCTCACGCCGGTAATCCCAGCACTTTGGGAGGCTGAGGTGGGCAGATCACCTGAGGTCAGGAGTTCAAGACCAGCCTGGCCAACATGATGAAATCCTGTCTCTACTAAAAATACAAAAATTAGCCGGGTGTGGTGGCAGGTGCCTGTAATCCCAGCTACTCAGGAGGCTGAGGCAGGAGAATCACTTGAACCTGGGAGGTGGAGGTTGTGGTGAGCTGAGATCGCGCATTGCACTCACCTGGATGACAAGAGCGAGACTCTGTCTCCAAAAAAAAAAGAAAGAAAGAAAGAAAGAAAGAAAGAAAAAGACCTTGTGTGACTTCAGTTGGGAATGTGCATGCCTGCAACCCAAATTTGTCACCACTTTGTACATTTCTGCAAATGACCTTGAAAGCACCCCAGGTATTGATTTAAGGGTTACAAATAAATTTTAGTGAGTAGGTAAATTTTCAAATAGAGAATATGTAATGAGAATAGACTGCATATTCATTACATGCATTTTATATTCATTATCTTTAGTTTGGAGTTGTGGTACACGCATAAATTTCTCTAGCTATTGCTTCAGGGGGCCAGCCCTGGTGTGATGTCCCCCTCAACCCACCCAGGCTTAGAAGCCCAATCTGACACCCCCGTGGGATGCTGGGCAGTTAATTGGAGTCAGGGGGCTACAATGAGGGCATGTGAATCAGATCTCAAAAATACCTATCGCACTTCTGCTCTACAGCAATTTCTCTCTCAGGGTCACTGTGTGGCCTTGGACAAGTTACTTAGACTTTTTGACCCTAGTTTTACTCACATGCCAAGTACAGATATTCATAACAGCTTCCCTTCTGGGTTTGTGGTGAGGGTTCATGAGTTGAATCAGGACATGCTTAGAACTGTTCTTGCTATGATTGTTCATACATGCACATCCCGATATCCCAGGCCCATTCATCTGGGTAGACAGTCACAGTGACTGTCCCAGTGGAGGGCACCTGGCTATCAGACCCTCAGCACTCCACCTGCTCACACAGCAGGCCAGTGCCTACCAAGCCCCCTCCATGAGCACATCGGGGCACCTCTCCCAGGGGCTCTGCCTCGCTTCCCTGTGGCCCTGGCTAATGCTGTGGTCCTGACACACAGCCTCCACCCCAAGCTGGAACTCTGCTATTGCACCTCTCCCGGAAAGCCCTGGGGGTCTGCCCTCGCCAGTGAAATAGGTAGGGGTGGAGCCTCCTCTCTTGCTGCACTTGGCTGGGTGGGCCACGGCAAGGATGCCTGAGCTTTGGGGCCCCCGGGTGTGGAGCAAGCAGCTGTCTCTTCCTTGCGGAAGCAGCGTGCACTCTGCAACCCACAAGGCCACCGTTTCCGGGGCATGCATGCAGGAATATACAGCGTGGGGCTTCTGGGTATGGTATGCAGTCACTCGGCACTGGCTGGGAGGGAGCAGCCCCCTCCTTCATCCAGCTTGTGGAGGGACCAGGCCACAGGGAGGTGCAGCCTGGGCACAGTGG